AATAATGAGACATTTGTACCATTTTTCCGTTTTTCATCAATGTATTTACGTTAAATATTCATTAAAAATTGTTATATGTAACCAAGAAATTATTTAATGATCTATTTATTGGACAGAATGAAAATTTTCTACTATAAAAATATATCTTCTATAGAAGTGAGGTTCTGTCTCGCCAATTGTATCAAAGTGTTCATATTAGATTAATTTTATTATTATATACAATTTTATTAACTTTTATAATATTTCATACATAATATAACAATTAAATCTTTGCGATTTATTTTTTCAATCATCGTTCACGCATCTGTTGATTTTTGGGGAGCTAATGAAAGGGCATCCTCCAAGAGGTTGAGCATCCTCTTGCAGAACATTTACCCATCTTCTGCAAATAATACAATTAATTTTTTGTAGTAAATCATAAGAAAAGCAGATAATAATTCATGGATATTTCCTAAACGCACCACAACCAGCGCTTTCGCACAACTTTACTTTGAAAATGCGCGCCAAACCGCAACAACTGCGCTATCTTCACCTGGTCCATGACTGAGGAAGCAAACTTAGTCCCCCGCCTTGTAACCATGCCTTGAAATATACTCTTTGCCACGTTTGCCACTCTTTGCCTTGTAACCAGAGAGCGCCAGAGAGCCAGAGAGTATATTGTCTGATGGAACCGACCCTGCTCCGAAACTTGCGTGTGAGCGTGAAGTGAAATGTTATTTTTCTTGTGTGGTGTATTAAAAAAATCTGAAATATGTTAACTCAGCTCCTTTAACAATTTGCCTCCTCATAACAAATTGCCAATTAAAGTTGTTTCCTTTCATAAACGTGTGGGTGGGTGTAATTCTTGAACATGGATCGAAAGTGGGAGAATTTGGAGGTTAATTTGTGTGAAGCTGTGATAAAAACTATTAATGAATTGGGTTTTGAACAAATGACGCCTGTCCAGGTAAAATAATTAATTTTTGAGTTTTTCATAGTAAAATTTTTTGACTTCCATTAAAAATAATGTATTTTAGGCTGCATGTATACCTTTATTACTGAGGCATAAGGATGTCGCAGCAGAAGCTATCACTGGGAGTGGAAAAACGTTAGCCTTTTTAATACCAATGTTGGAAATGCTCCAGGTAAATGTTGAAAATTATGTACAAGTGTTTGAAACTCAATAATAGAAAAACCTAAAATTTGTGATATAATTATTTTTATTTTATTGCTAATGACCATAATTCTGTACATTTGTATCACTCGTTGTAGATTATTGTACAAGTAATGAATGTTGTATTTGTGTAGTTGCGAGAGACTCCTTTGAAATCACATGAAGTTGGAGGTATTATTATATCACCAACTCGAGAACTTGCTACTCAGACAAGTGAAGTATTGAATAATTTCCTGAAGAATATGAACAATCTGACCCAATTAGTGTTAGTAGGTGGCAACACAATATCTGTAGATGTGCAGAGATTTAGAGAAAAAGGTGGTAATATACTTGTTACTACACCAGGGAGGTTGGAAGATTTGTTAGTAAGAAAACATGACATAAACCTACCAGTTGCTGTTAAGTCATTGGTAAGTCGGTAATTAAATTTTGAATTACAACCTTAAAATTTCAAAGTTCGAAATGTAATTCAGATATTAAAATAATTTATCTTTTAAATTTTTAACTATTAGTCAGTAATGGTAATAACTGGATCGATGTTTCTCCATTAAATGTGTTATGTTTATGATCTTACATAGTTAATAGCGTTTGATTCACCTTTCTGAGTTGAATTTGCTGGTGACAATTTATGTTGAAGGAATTTCTGGTACTGGACGAGGCTGATCGCCTATTGGACATGGGATTTGAGCAAACTCTGAATACTATCTTGCAGTATTTGCCACGACAACGTCGAACAGGTCTCTTCTCAGCGACACAGACAAAAGAAGTGCAGCAGCTGATGAGGGCAGGCCTCCGAAATCCGAGTCTCGTGGTAGTGCGAGAGAAATTAAACAAGTAATGTGTTGCAATATTCTTTTGATTTAAAGTCGAATACTTAGCTGCTTCCCAGTGTGCAGTTAGTGCAACAAATATAAAATTCTAATGCTTCATTACTTTGTATGCCTTTTGATGAGATCGGGTTAACTTTTTTATTCTGCTTTTAATATTTGGGAATATGTTAAAGTTAGGGGTATTTATATCATCTTACTAGATATTCGTCGATTCTGTTACTGCATTAACAGCTAAATATTTTTGTTGTTTTCAGTGTGAGTAAAGCAATTTCACAGGTATCAACACCATCAACTTTGAGCAACTATTACATGACGTGTGAACCAGAGAATAAATTATCAATACTCATTAATTTTCTGAAAACGAATGGTGTGGAACAAAAGTATATGGTCTTCTTACCAACATGTGCTTGTGTTATATACTTTCACGCTATTCTGAAAATGTTAGTAAAATAACTATTATTACTGTAAAATTAACATTCAAAATATATATTTATAAATACTTGGTTGAAGTCTAGTAAACGGTACAACTTACAGAAGTCGTCTTTCTTGAAAAGAGCTTTCTTATAAAAGTGAATTGGTAGTTATGAAGTGGATAGACTCAAGAATGTTTATTGTGAACGTGAGAGCCGAAGGCCCGAGCCTGGTCATGACTTGGATCTGGGCGAGTGAAGCGAGAAAACTTGCCTTGAAAGTAAATTGGCATTGCAATGCGACGGGGACAAAAACGTATGAACGGTAATCCATAACAATTGCCTATCCGTAGGTTTTATTAATTTCTTTCAGAGTGCGTAGCGTAATTTGAGGGAGGGCGTAAGGAGACCCTCTCCCTCCCCCCTCGCCGTCACTCTTCTCTGAGGGTGTACCGTGTACTTTCCTACTTTAACCAAATACTTTTCTGGATATCAGTGAAGATAGAGTTATTTTTTCTTTTTGCAGCTTGTTACCTAAAAATAAAATATTTTGCATACACAGGAAAATGAAGGAGGCACGCAGTAAAGTGTTTGCAGAATTTAGAGCTGCTGAATCAGGTATGGTAGAGGAACTGAAAATATTTATTTGTTCCCCTTGAAATGAGCTTGAATTGTATTCAACAAGTGAAATAAAAATGTATTTTAAGGTTCTTCAGACCAAGGCACCCCAAATAAATTGATTCAATTACTGGTTGTGTATTCAGTGAAATCTGCTCAAAAGGCCACCTTGATTAAGCAGTCACTTTCACTAACAGCAATTTTTTCATTAAACCAATTGATTTTTCCATTAGCTTGTAAATATTCCCTCTTTTATCAGCCACACTATGCTGGGACACAATGTCAGATTTCTTTGATTAATGATATCCAGAAATGCTTACCTCGCAGAGGGATTACTTTCGGTATTGGGTAATAACAGATCCTATTAATAATACAAAAAGTTTATTTTCATTTCTCAACATTCCTGTGGTTTGCTAACTCAAACTTCCCTAATGTGGGAATCTGTTAAAGTCTCATGGCGAACACAACATGCAAAACTTTTATGTAAAGGGTCTTTCATTAACTCCTTTGTCAGGCAGCCGTAGTGTAAATTTTCTACAGGATATGCATTGCATCTTCAAATGTAGTTTGCCTGTTTTGTTCAGAGAGGATGGAAAGTGATTGTCTTCAGAGGAGGTTTTAAATCATTGTCTTTACTTTGTGGAATTGAATTTACTCATTTATAGTAATTTAAAATTTTAGAGAGAATATACTTAATTTCATAGCAAATAGCACAATTGTATTTAATTTATGCTATCAGTAGCCTCACAACCTTGATTAAACAGAAACTTCTAATAAAGACCAATTTTTAATGGACCTACTGTTGGCAGATTTCACTACAATTGAGAATAAAACTGTTGAGAGTTGTGTTTACTCTGAGATGATTTCTTTCCTTTCAAATGGAAGTAATGTTCAGTATTTTGTTTTTATATTTTGTCATTCCAAAAATTATTTTTCCTTAGTTCTAATTCATATAATAAAAAGAATGGCAAAAAATGCCTCTTGTTGTCAAAAAGTACATTTTTCTTCATTGTGTGCTTGATACAGGACTCTTTGAAAACATACAATGTATATTCTTTGTTTTCTCGGATTCTTTCATGGGTTGCTGGCTTTATGAAATTTCTAGTTTTTAGGCTATTTTGACACGCTAACCCCTTCTTTTTGCCCTTGCCTATATATGGATGATTTGACCTCTAAATTTTCATCAATGTCAATTATTCCCCCCCCCCATTTAGCATTGTTTAATACTGGGCCATAATGTAGTGAGATAGCTTGACTATTGTGAAATTCTGAAATGTAGTGCTGAAACAGGAGAGATCCCAATCCCATTGTTAATAATGTGACTGGTTACTCAGAAGAAAAAGTCCTTTCAAGAAAGTGTCTTTCAATTCTATGAATTTTTATAATTTGGGGTTTAAACAAAAGTTATATGATTAATGTCTTTAAATTAGTATTTGTTAATTCAATTAATTAACAAAAATTCTTTTACATTTGTTTATGCATTAGAACATCCATGCTAAATGATAATAATAAAATGTTAAATTTTATTAGAAGTATAAAATTGATTAGATACTTCAATTTGTAACAGATTTTTTTATATCAACTTTGGTGGAAACTAGTAATTTAGTGAAGGGGGGGGGGGTTCTAAATCACTTTATTTATTTCCACTGTGTTTTCCTCCTGAAATTTTATTCTGCTTATTTGGGATGTGTTATTGGATATGAAGGTCATTGAAAGTGCTCGGTGGCTTTCATCATGTCATAGTGAGTCTGTAAGAAAGTACGAGAGAGCTTAGAGGCCCCAAAATTAGTTTCAGAGATTTGGTAGGTAGCCAGAAACAATTTGACATGTAATGGAATTTGCTTGAGGGGAAGGTCCTGAAAATCACTAGTGTTATATAAAATTTGAAAGCAAAACTCATATATAGCTTTATGAATATTTACGAGTGTGATTGACAAACTTGTTTTCAATGTTTCCTGCAGGAATATTGTTATGCACAGATGTAATGGCTCGTGGAGTTGACATTCCAGAAGTGCATTGGGTGATTCAGTATGATCCTCCTGCAAATGCTGCTTCTTTTGTGCATCGTTGTGGGCGCACTGCACGCATTGGCAACTATGGATCAGCATTAGTTATGCTGATGCCATCTGAAGAATGTTATGTAGACTTCATATTTCGCAACCAGAAGGTAAAGCAGCTTCGTCTGTTGTTGAATGAATACAGGTTTTAATTGTTATAATTATTTCAAAAGCAGACTACATATTTCGTGGCATGGCATTTTTGCATAGCCATAACTAGATTAACCCCATATCTATAAAAGTTAAAGATAAATAAATAAAAATAAAATTTAAAGAGAACACAAGATTAGCAACATTTGAAAAACTAGACATTTTCATTCCCAAGTTATAGAAAACGTATTTGCAATAGTTAATGAACTGCAGATATGATTATTCTGCATTGCTAGCAAAATAGTAACTCGTCCTTACTCCTACAACTAACTATAAGCAGAAGGAGAGTTCAACAAAATATGCACATAGTGAAGCCACGTTTATGTCCAGGAGCAAAACAAGGTGCCATCTCGCCATTTGCTCAATGGATCAGGGAAGCTGGACAAAACCTGATCGTGATGGGGGTCATTGACCCAGAAACCGAAGTACATTATTGGTTGCAAGCATATTAAGTCTTTTAAAAAAATTATCCTATACGAGTGTAAATTAATTCATTATATATCACTGTTTTGTTAAAATAAACAATATTTTTCTTTTTGATAATCATTATAGTTTCTAATTGTATAGAAACAGTTATGAAGCAGAAAGATTTGGCTTTTAACTTAAATTTGTGATCTGACTTCAATTGTTTATTGTCATCTGGCAATGCGTTGTAAAGTAACGTATGTGTATTCCCGAGTGTGAGCCGATACTGACACTTGATGAACATGATTCCTATGACATGTGTTGTAATTATAAATATCAGTACTGCATGAAAATATGTTTCCACCATTATGTAAGTTAGTTTTGTCAAATATTACAGATTTGTAAATATATAGACAAGATACGTAGACCATTGAAGAGAGGCTTGCAGGGATCATGCGGATGACATGTTTTCATTATTCATGTAATTTTCTTTTGCAATCGAAAGATCTGAGTACTACATGATTAGCTTCCTCAGAATATTACGCCAAAACTCAGGCGACAGTGCACATCTGCAAAGTACACGCAACGAGCTGCATGACAGCTGACAGAATTTGAAAGAATTCTGAATGTGTAACATAATGAACTTCATTTAGTGTTTAATTCTGTTGTATTTACATTCCATTTGAGGTTTAACTGAATTGAGAAACCTAGAAATTTTGTTACTTTAACACCAGCTAATTGCATATTGTTCATTTTCAATAGAGTATGCGATTGCTGATTTGAAATGCGAAAATGCATTGAACCTGTTTCTCCTTCATTAACTATTATTTTATTATTACAAAACCAATTTGAAACTTTTGTAACTGTACTTTTCTTTTTATTTATTTTTTAATATTTTTTTTTATTTTTCCAAAGACATTTATGTCATCAGCAAACAGAACTGTTCTTCTGTTTTTAATTGACGAAGACATATCATTTACATATGTCAGAAAGAGGATGGAATTTAAGATCAAATCTTGCAGGACCCGATATTCAATTGGCAAAGAATTGGAAAGAAATATAAATAATGTCCTTTCATGTCAATAGGGTTTTTCTACTCTTTGAGTTCGATTTTTAAGGTACAAATTATCGAATCTAGGGCGATACCATAAATTCCATAAAGAGGTAATTGTGATAGCAAGATGGTATAGTCAATAATGTCAAAAGCTTTTGGAAGATCTAAAAATATTCCAATGGGTGGTTCATTTTGGTCAATTGATAAAGCATCATTTTTAAGAAAAGAAAAAATAGCATATTCTAATAATTTAGATTCTAAATGATTTTAATTCATAATAATGTATGTACTCCATCATATATAATTAAGTGTAGCATTTGGAAGCTATCATGTTAGTGTTATATTGACATTCATGAATTTATAAGGTAAATATATGAAAGGTCTCGTAAACATCCTACGTTACACAATCCTATGCAGGGTGAGTCACATATCTTTAGCATAACCTGTAACTTTTGTGTGGTGGTGGTGGTGGTATCATAAATTCCTCTGGCAAGTTTAAGTTTGCAAGGTACACATCTTCATCTGTTTCATGGCTTTATAAACACTTGATCGTATAAATATGGTCCGTTACTTCTGATTTTCTAACATTTCTGAAGGATAAATTAATAGTGAAATGAAAAAAATAATAGATAATTTTGGTAGAAATCTGAAAGATGATAAAATCGGTTATCTGCTTACTGACACACACAATATTATATCTCTATCGAATCCAACAACTTGTTAAAATGATAATTGCAACCCCCTTTCGTATTTAAAAATTTCAAAACTTGCTTATGATTAATTTAATACTGCCAAATTATGTGATAAATAATCGTAAAATATAGCTCTCATAATAAAGTTGCATACTTAACTTAATATTGAGATAGCAGAAAGCAAAGATAATTACAATTAACTATTGTAAAATTAGTTTTGTTTGTTTTACATGATTATCCAGGTTATTTTAGAAGAAATGGAATCTCTAGACTCTCTTCCTTATGTCATTCCAAAAGTTCGCAAACTACACTTGAATGATAGGGCAATAATGGATAAAGGAATGAGAGCATTTGTTTCTTATGTTCAAGCATACGCCAAGCACGAATGTAACATCATCCTGAGACTGAGAGGTAACGTGCACCTGCAGCCACACAATAAATGAAGTTTAGTCACCAGTTAATTTCATTTTATCATTTTTCCAGACTTGAATTTTGGCAAATTGGCTTCTGGATTTGGTCTTATTAAGCTTCCAAAAATGCCAGAATTGAAAAATAAAAACATAACAGATTTTGAAGAAGAAAAAATTGATTTTAATTCAATACCGTACCGGTAAGCTGCATATTGAACTTTTCACTTCATAATGTTGTGTAGCTCCTAACCTTATATATGCTCATCCTGGGATGGAATGGACAGTAGTATATTGCCATTACCCCTCAGAAAACAGTACAAAAACAATGAAGTGTATAGGATAAAACTTAGTATTTGTTAAAAACTAATTGAAATTCTTTTGTGGTATTTTACGTATGGTTGTTTTTACTTGCCTTAAAAACAAACTCTGTTTTCTGTTAACACTAGGAATATTATTGTTTGTAAATGTTACGGTTAAGAATTTTCCCAAGAAATACTTTAAGTACATTTGATAATAAGTAAAAAATGTACTTTTTATTTATTTTTAAAGGTCTTCCCTTTTATTTATCTTTGAAAGGCTTCTCAGTCCATCCCTCCAGCTCCTGTTGCAAGCCAATTTTCATTCGCTTTTCTGAAAGAGGAGAGGGTGATATATCCTGTTCTTGCTATGAACATTTTATGCTAAGTACCAAATAAAACAGTATTCTTAATGGGCCTAGAATATACAATTTTTCATCAGCTTCAGAGTATAACTGAATTAAGAATTGTGCTTGTTGGTAATCTGTTAATGTGGATAATTTGCTCAAGATGTATTAAAAAACTTTTCAAAATTACAGAAAGAGTAGCTCACCAGTGAGCTATTTCTTTTAACAACATTTGGCGATTGTTTTGTTTTGTTTTGTTTTGTTTTGGAAGGGTAATTTAATCTATTTGGTTTACAAGTGTCGGATAACTTCTATGGACCTTTTTCTAGGGAAAAACAAAGAGAGGAGGTTCGCCAACAGAAGCTTAATGTGTTCCGGGACACTGGGTCTTGGCCAACAAAAGGACAGAAGCGAAAACGGAAGCAAACTGAGCCCTGGTCTGAAACCAAGAAGAACAAACAAGAACGAAAAGAGCGCCGAAAAGAACGTAAAGAGAGGAAAAATGCAATGGCATTGGAAGGCAAAGTAAAAAAGAAGAAGAAAGGAATATCTAAGGAAGAAATGGAAGAATTAGAGAAAGATATAGCCCTCATCAAGAAATTTCAAAGAAAAAAGGTACAGTATTTTTATCAATAAACTATTATCTACATTACACTAAAGTTGGTGTTAAATGTTATTTGAAAAAGAGGTTGATGATGATTGCGATGATGTGATTTCAAAATTTGCTGTCAAAATCAGCGAGTGTAGTTGTTTTCAGAATAACAGAAATGGTTTATTCATGTCTTGGAAGTTGCGACTTGTTTAAAGCTGTATAGTGATTTTCAAATAATTTCACAAATTGTGTTTGTAAAAAGTGACCATTTTTCCAAAATTGAAAAAATTTGTCTTTTCCATGTGGGAAATCGAATGTGAAACAGCACATAGCAAATCTAACCACACAGATGAGACTAGAGCGGATTTCCAAATGCTCTCCCACTACTACTTACTAATTTTCTCAGCATTTCAGTCCTCATAAAAGTATAATGAACTTCACACAAAATTAAGTAAATGGTTTTGCTTACCATTTCCTTCAGACTTAAAATAAAAGGAATTTTTTTTTATTCACATCAATGTATTATTTTCCTCATCAAAATGTTTTATATTCTCCATTTAACTAGTGAATATTTATAGCCCATTGATATCTAATGTACCATTTCTAATTTTAATGGAAAGAATAAATGAAGCCTTCTAATTGAGAATGGTATACAAAGAAAATAAATTAAGACAGAAGAAATAGAATGTAAAGTAAAATTCTCTATTTCAGTTTTTGAATGATTTCAGAATGCAACCTATAATACACAAGTAATGAAGTACATTTGGATTAATTTCATAGAAACTAAAGTAGTTGGTTTAATCATGTGCATGGACTGTTGATGGTGTCAACCCCAGTAGAAATACGAGGGTTGCCTTTTATATATCAGGATTAGAGAACAAAAACAAATATTAATCATCGAAAATCACTTTATTGTTTTTCAAAATATTCCCCATGAAGATCTATACACTTTTGCAAGCGTTTGAACCAATTGTCGAAGCGCTTTTGCTACTCCCATTGAGGTGTCTCCAAAACATGCATTCTGAATGCAATAACCGCTTCTTCAGGTGTCGAAAAACGTTGACCTCTCAGTTTGTTTTTAACGTACGGGAATTAAAAGAAGTCATTCGGTGCCAAGTCAGGACTATACGGCGGATGACATCAAATCGATGTTTTGGTTGCTCAAAAATGCAGTTTGAGCCGATGTGCGAGAGCTCGCATTGACGTGGTGAAGAGTGATCCGTCTTCGGCGGTCGGTTTTCCTGATTTCTTAGAAGACAGCTGGCAAACAAATCGTCGTGTACCACTCAGAATTGACTATTCTGCGTTGTTCTAGTGGTACGGTTGCGACATGTCAAGTTTTCCGAAAAAAAAAACAGGCGACCATGTGTTTGGAAGTGCTTCGTGCGCGAAACAACTTTTGTGGATTTTGCTCATCATGAAACACCCATACAGTCGACTGCTGTTTATTTCGGGCTCATACGCGTAAATCCACGATTCATCACCTGTCATGATGTCATAGATGTGTTTCGAAGTACCGCGATCGTATTTTTTGAGCATTTCTTTCGACCAATCGACATGAGCCTTTTGTTTGAGCCATTGACAAATTGTGCGCGGATCAAACGCGACCAAATTTTTTTGACAGTCAAATGTTCATGCAATATTGAATGTATGCTGGTCCCACTACGAAACCTAAGGTTGTCTCAATCTCACGATTAGTTCACATGACGATCTTGCAATATCAGTTCACGCACAGCATCAATGGGTTCGGAACAGCAACTGATTTTGGACGACCTTCGCGAATTTGTCTTGGAGTGAACTACGACCACGATTGAATTCGCCATAATACCTTCGATAAACACTGGTCCTTGATGGAGCTTCATCGCCAAAAATTGAATTAAGTTCATCCATGCACTGTTGCTGAGTTAATCCACGTCGAAAGTTGTAAAAAATAATCGCACGAAATGTTCACGATTTAATTCCATTTTTGGGCCAAGATGAATCTCTTAAAGTTACTGTAAACAAACAAATAGCGCTCGTTGTCACAAACGTTCTGAGTACGTATAACCGCAAAACATCCAACTTTACGATAGAGCTGTCAGTAGCCAGATTGCAACACCAGGATTGCCAAATCCCGAAACATAAAAGGCAACCTTCGTAAGATTTTGGAAAGCAGAAAATCGTGAAATGTCGTGCCTTTCCATGGAAGGGCAATTTGACTCATGTCACAGTATCTAAAACAACTTCAAGCTTAAAAGTGGCCTCTTAGCAAAATTTGAATAGAACTGTCTTTAAGTGATATCTTAGATTGTAATCACATTGCACCGAGATGACCTTACAGCCCCATCACACAGAGCAGTATTATGAAATGTGTTTGGAAATGAATCAATGGCTTCGGTATGATCGTGAAATCTTTCCAAAACAGTCATACAGTCAAGTTGTTAATGACAATGATTTAAGACATTGAAAGAAGAAAACTATTTAACTGCTAAGAAATAATTTCAGCAGTCGTGCATGGAAACTAGTTCTCCCCTTCACTATTGATTGGAAAGGGTTTCTTTGTTGTAGTTGTCAAAGTCTGTTTTGCGGAAAGAAGTCATTAAGTCATGACCATTTAAAACAACTAATGTTTGTCATGGAAGTTTATTAGAACTAACTAGTAAATACATTCAAAATTAAACATAATTTCTTATAATGAATGCAAAGTTTTAATTTTTAGAGATTGTTTACTATTTTTGATTTATTACTTAATGAAATTAAAGGTGCAATTATTCAAATGATTAAATGCCATTCCTTGGGGCAAAAGGTGATTCTTGAGATCTGCTATACATTCACAGTAGAATTGCTATTATTTTTATGTGAATTTCTGCTACATTGTTTTCCACAAGTAATTATCTTAGAAATTATACTTTGCTAAATACTAATTCTCCAAAATAGCATTCACCAACGAAAGATGATTGCCGTCCTCCTTGATGTTTAAGCATAGTCGTATCTGCACCACTGTTGACGTGTAGGGACACAGAGGTTCATTGAAAGCAATGCCCTATGTTCCCCTTTGTGTCAGGAAGATCTAAGTACTCAGCAATAATTTGAGGCATTTTAGAAAAAGTGTGAATACCAACAGGCTATACTCTACATTTTCCTTTGGAATAAAGTAAAAAAAGGTGATTTTTGCTTTTTAACAGTTATTTTTTCATTTTTTCACAGATGTCTGAAGAAGAATTTAGTGAAAAATTTGGAGTTAATGAGTGATTTTTCCTGTAAAGAGTCATTATTATATAATTGTAAATATATATTATATTTTGACTAAGGGTGTTTTGTTTTTTTATGTGTGTTTCCTACAATACATTCATTCTGTTGCTGAATTCACAAAATGTTGGTAACTGTTAATAGCAGCAAGAGCACTTTTAAATGAACAATCAAGTTTTTAGTATTTGAACATTGGTGTGGAAAATAATATTTGTGAAACAGTTTCAGAATTTTTAATTTTATAGACATGGTTATAACTGTAATTTACTTTTTTGTTCAAATATTGGATCTTGAGTTTGATGTACAACTGCAACTTGTGAACTTGTAAGTTTTTCATTAGATTCTCCCCTTGTCTGGTAATTTTTCTTTCCCAGAACCTTTCACTTTTAAAACTTGTACGTGTATATTTTCTTAACTTTTTGTAGGTTAGTGTTCATTTTATGAGATGACACAATGCAATTTTATTCATTTCTTTTGGTTTTTTCAAAAATTACACAAAGGTATTTTTGTTTACAACTCTCTTGCAGTGTTAATATTTACATTACTAACATTTGTACTCATAATGTTATTTGTGAAGAAGTGTGAGAAAAGAAATGTGTAAATGAAAATGAGATGAAATTTCGTATTTCCAGCGATGTTCAAACATCAATGCCTTGTTAATGGTTCCAAATTCTTTCTTTCAATTTTTGAACTAATGGTGCTAAATGGACTAAATAACATGACATAAATGCCACTTCGCCATTGCATGAACGTTGTAAATGACTTTTTTTTTTTAATATTTCTCATACTGTTAATTTTTATACTATCAGCATTTTGTATACATTATTGCATTTATGAGTCAAAGCATTTCAAATGATTTTGAATGAAATTTCTCAAAAACTAATGCTTTCTGAAGAGAGCTTGAAATTTCACATTTACAAAAATGCTTAAAGAACATTTTCTGAAAATTTTGCATTGAAAATTGCCACAAGGGGGGAGGTTTATTCTTCCATAACATTCTGAAAGACATATTTTAATTCTACAATTAGGGGACTGAAAAATTGAGAAATTGTGAGAAACTGTACTTTGGGCAGTGACAAATGGCAGCTGGAAAGAGGGTGAGGCAAAACTGAAAAGCTAGACCAGACCAAAGAAAATGGAAAACTAAATAGTATAAAGACTAGTGGTGCTACAGAATAGCACAGCATCTCATTGATTTGATCATATAGATTAAAACCTTTTAGAAGAAAAAAGTCTAGCATACACAAACCTGTTTTCTGGCCTCAGGTACTACAATTCAATGTAAACTGTGAGTGCTGATGAATTGCACTATTGGAAAATATTCTTCTGAAAATTGATCTGGACTGGAAAATATTCGATACACACCACCTAACTTGAGTTGAAATATAGTTCTGGTGGCTCATGATTTGTTGTGATAAATTTTTTGTCAAAAAAATTTTAGAAACTTTGCAATATGAGTGGGGGGGAGTATATCACACACGTTTCCAATTCCAGAATATCTTTCCCACCATTGTACTTTACTTAGTTTTATGATGAATAAAAGAACCAACAAAGCAAGGTTAGCAATATTTGAAAACTAGATTTTCGCTCTCAAGTTGTAGCCTTTTTTTTCCATTTCAATAAACTACAGATTTGTCTTTTTAGTATTGCTAACAAAATACCAAACCCCATCCCAGGCTCTTTTCCTACCACTATTAGCCCTCTTTAGGACCCCCTCACACACCACCACCACCACCATGAACGTCATCTGTAGGTACAGTAATGACTTGACCTCGGATTTTAAGACAAATGCCTATTTAGTTCCTTTATGAGATTGTGGAAAATAATTGCAAATATTTACGAACGATGAAATAGATCTGAAAGCATGTAAAATGCCCTAAAAGGGTCTCATTTAACACGTTTAGCCTAAAAAAAATTGAAGATTTATTATATTTTATTTTCACATTTTAAAAAAAATTGTTGTACGGAAGTGCAAATACCCAAAACGCGAATATTCCCTGATCAAATATGCAATAGACATTTTTTTCCATCTGAAGTAGGGTTGCAAAGGTATGTAAACAATGAAAACTCACAAGCAGTAGCATAGCAAAATGAGTGCAGCCCCGCTCGCAAAACATATATCCGGGCCACCTTTATAAAAGTGTAAAGCTAACAGAATAGTGTTGCTACCGTAAATAATAAAAACATCTCCTAAAAACGGGCTCGCCCGCATTTGTCAGCCTTGCGGAACCGAACGTTACGCCACTGCTCATGTAAAATGAATTTTACAAAATTAATAATTAAAATTATTCAATCTAAAATTTACACTTAAGCACTTTCGATGTTTTCTTTGTAATCTTGATTCCGCATGACTACACATCCCGTGGTATGATACTTGCAAATATCTTTTTCTCACCAAGCTGTCTCTTCGAAATGCTATTGTGAACTTCCTTTTGAATGTAGAAATGCCATCAGTGAAAAAGGAATTTTATTTTTCGTTCTTCGCACTTTTGTTCAGAGAGTAGATAGTTGTGTAATCGCCAATACTGAGATGTGTATATATACAGAGCTGTCCCCAAAAGTATCGGTGGTCAGTGAAGTCGGGAGTGAACTAAGCCTGACAGCGTCAATGAAATAATTCAAAAATCTTGATTGGTATCATCTTCCTTTTTCAATTGAATTTTTATCACAGCGTTTGCTTCCACAGAAATACAAAATACGACTGTTTCGAGTTGTCCAGATTTGCAGAGGGGTGTATGTGGTGAATATTGTAATGGGACGGTCGCACGTGTCTGGTTGCAACGCGTATTTCAACATTTTATCCAATATAACGTGGCTATAAAGATGCTTGGAAATATTCATTTTTTGCTACCTGCGAGGGTGTAAGGAGCGCAGGGGTCGCGGAGGCATGCAGCTCTATTGTCCTGACTGGGACTCACCGGGAAATATGGACTCTGCCGTCTCCTAACCCAGCAATTCAGCTACACCTGTTCCTTGAATTTCGATTACGTTTGAGCCTCAATAGAATTTGGCAAGACTCAAACGGTCGTCAATGACGCCGCGATTGGGCGGAAGAAACCACGTAACGTGCGCTCACCAATCGCGGAAAACGAAGCGGTGGAGGGCCACGTGACCCGCGAAGGTGAGGTAGCTGCAAGGCACGAGGTCGGTCATTTCGATATAGGAGGCGGCAGCGAGTAGAAGTGCCATTCCGAGGTAGGGAGGAGGGCGAGTTACTTTTGATTACGGGGGACGCATTACCGCACCGCCGCCGCCCGAATGCATTATTGCCACATCGCGGGCCGCCTCTGGGGTCGCTAACTCAAGGACGAACGCCATTGGCCATGACTGGGTGCCCGATCGCGAGCCCAGGAATGGATGACGGGACGAGACGCAACCACCGCTGCCGCCAACCGCGCCGCCGATGCCCGAACCGGCTTTGCTGTCGCCTGACTGCGCCGTCATCGACCGCAACGCGCCAAGCACCATGGCCGCCGCTTCCGTAACCGGATTCGTGACCGCCGGGAAGGGCGCCGCCCTGCTTTCAAGGATGAACTCTAGCTCGTACGGCCTAATTTAAAATAAGCTAGTTTTAAGGAATAATAACGGGAGGCTTCACCTCATGAAAGGGGAATATTAAATCCACCTTTGAAAATACCATGTGTATCTTCGTTCTTGCACAATCTCAAAGAAAAATTAAAACAACGCAATTGATGTTGCGACCAAATTTTCAAGAGTGGTTCGGTTTATTCAGAATTATAGAGATATGTTCTTCGAACAATTCATACTTCCTTAAAAACAACATTTGAAGTAATTATTCAATCTTCCTTGACAGCTTTCGTTGATACAAAAATATTAGAACATATTTTCTCTCTTGAGAAAGCCAAGTAAAGTTTTTCATCCGAAAATACAGGATCAGGTAAATACAACCGTACTCTGCAATATTATTTAACTTTCTTGGATTTGTTATGAGGAACAGAGGGGTTTTCGAGGGAGGGCGCCAGCTTGCTGGGGTGTGAAAATTGAAAATTTATTTGTATATTAAAAAGTATTGGATTATTTTCTGCGTTCTTACGTACCTGAAAAAAGCAATTCCGTGCCCAAAAACGATAAAACTAATATTTTTACATTTGAGCAATAAATACCATTTGTTACTATCAGCAATAATTCAGTGGGCATTGATGTAAAGACTTCCAGATACCGGCAACATTTTAATCGTGCGTCTGGATAGTGATCGTTGGCAGTACTCAAATGACTTGCATTTTTCTTCATATATTTTTGAATTTGGTGCCTTTTTTAATGCACGTATAGTATTGTAAGCTAGCACGTTTTGGTTTTTGTTCATTTCTTTCAAGCTATTTTACTTTCGTTAATTTTAAATTCTTTTTCTTTGTGTTGTGAGTTTCCATACTACCTCCGTGCAAGAACTCTTGTATGTTACAAAATAAACGCCACACTCTTCCCTATCCTATTTTCATTCTGTGAGAGAAAATTGTTAATGAAACGTAGTTATTTATTTAAAAATGTGTAATGGTAACTTCTAGTGAACTATCACAATATCAAAAATTAAAAACAATGCAATTGATGTTGAAAAGAAATTTTCACTTAAGTTTTATTCAGTATTATCGAAAGATTTCTTGAAACAATTCACAACACTTTCTTAAAAATATTTGCACAAATTATTCAATATTCTTTGACAGCTTTTCGTGATGGTCACAAATATATAAAAAAAAGCTTTTTTCTCTTGAGTTATTTCTCTTACGTGATTGAACACGCTGACTTGAAATTTTCACGGCTGATAACAAAAATACTGGGGCAGGTAAAACAAGCCAATCCTAACAAGACATCTCTTCACTGAACACCCACATCCGTACACAATTAGGTACACATCACTTTTAGATCTCGAAAAAACGTTAAATGAATATGTTCACTACTCGTCTAAGAAACAAGTCTTCATTGCAATCAAGCAACTATAAATAGTACTTCTAGTTGTTGCTTCGAGAGCGAATCTTGAAATTATAATTTTGCAAATACACCTCGTCAGTCTGCGCAAACCACGGTGTGCACAGAAAAAAATAGTGTAAGATAGAGGAATCTAAGCCTTCTATGCGTGACGTCACAAAGATGGCCACCATGAAGATTTGAAATATAGGTGTCATTGTCAATAAGTGCCGAACCAGCAAAAAATAGTTTTTAAGTCCCCAAAACACTTTTTTTTAGGAGTTATTTAACGATATATTTGAGTGTTGCGGGTTGCATTTGACAATAATATTTGTATGCGTTTTTTTAAACAAATCGTTCATAATTTTAAAGTCAAAGTGCAATTCGTTACGTCTAAGTGAAATTCCTTTCTTTAGAGACCTTATTTAGAAAGATCAGTTGCGTGTGAGAGCCGCAAAAGGTATGCCTGCTGAAATAATGCAAAAATAAATGTATTTTAGCAATCATGAGCTATTTTGTTTTAAATATCCCCAGCTCAGTGGCGGTTCTGTGATTAGTCAACAGGGAGGGCACATAAATTTAGAGGATCAAAGTTAGGCATTTGAAAAATTGTT